TACGTAAGCTTTTAACAGGAATTATTATCGCTTTGATCAGTTTGTTGATCCTATTATTACAATGTAATATAACGTAAATAATTAATGCGCACTAGACGGTTAAATAGTGTTTTATTTTGTTACTATTATTATCAATAGTAGTATTGGTTTAATGTTTAAGGTTTGGCTTGCATTGTAGTTATTCCAGTTTTTGTTTGGCATATGTTTTTGCATCCAATTGGAAATAGATAAAATAAAACAAGTGGTGTAGCGTATTAAAAAGTTAAAAATTAACTTATCGAAAATATTCTATGGGCTTCTTTAGAGAATGTTACTGGTACTGGAATGTTCATAGGACACTATATAAAAACTTGAAGGAGGAATATGTAAATTATTTGAGTTGTGCTACAATTATATGCGAAAAATCAAATTTTTTGATCATTTAACATTTTGCCATGCCCCTTAATTATCTTCTATGTCACTCAATAAAAAAAAGAATGTTTTTTTAAAAGGTCGACTGTGGGGTGTTGTTATCCATTAAAAGACACTGTCTTGGTAGAACCAGCATATGCTAAATTGTTTTAAAGTGAACGTCCGATTGGAAAGTAAAGAATTATATAAAGACATCTTTTTTTCAAGACAGAGACGTTCGATGAAAAAGATATCGTTCATCTTTCACCAAAGCTATCAAATTTTTTAATTATATATTAGTTGAGAAAGAAAACAGTGCATATTTATGGAATCGAAGAACGCAGAGGACGGCAATTCATCTTCGTATTACAGAGTCAAATTGGTTAAGTTTTAAGATCACTAGAGAAGACTACATACATTTAACATTTACTTGATCAAATTTTGATAAACTTAGGATAGATGGCAAAAACTTTTTAGAAAATGGCCAGGGCATGAGGGATGATTTTCCTATAATGAGATATTGATTCTTGGTCAATATTCTAAATGTTAGTATTTAAAATAGTCGACGTTACTCTCCATTAACTGACGGGAGATAGATTAGACGACGGGGAAAGTATGCGCGTAACTTCACTGTATGCATCTTTCTTCAATGTAATGTAATAGGCGATTGTATGTATTCTGATCATTTTTTCAAGGCATTCCTTAAAAAAAAGTTTGTACTAAATTACTAAACTAAGTTTGTATTAAACAAAATGTTATATATATATAGGTATATATCATTTTCTACAACTTTTTGCCATCTTTCTCGCAACATGGCGATTCTCCACCGAAAGAACGATATTAGTTTGGCAACGATACAATCATCGCCCCATTTTTGCACTTCCAGCCAAGCTACCCTGCATCGACCTGAACAAATAGTAATCAGAAGACGTTATGTCTTATGAGTACACTAAGTGAGGTAGAATTTCCTATTCGAGTTGCAACAGTGTATTGCTGATATAACTCTTGCAATCTGTGCCCGAGCGTTGTCACGCAAGAGGATGACTTTGCCTTTATAACCGCATTGACAGTAACAGTTTCATTCTGCTTTAGCAGTTTGGTGATCCCAACATATGTACAGCAAATCTTTATGGCCATGAATATGGTCGATAGGGATGACTCCGCCTGGCTAATCTATAACTTTTTGCGCTTGGGACTAACGTAATAGATCCGCTCTTCAGCGCCAGTCACAATAAGCCACAGAACGCTCCTCTTGTTTTTTGGCTAGGAAGCAATGACACCGCCTTTTTGGATAGCTCAAAATGGCATTTTCAGTCAATTCATATGATAGCCATTTTCCATCCCTTTGGATCTTTCCCGTTGCATGTAAAGTAAGCGTTGATTCATAAACTGCTAAGCTGTTCGAAAGTTGTTTGAAAGTTTAAGCTGATTTTTGGACTAATAAGACTTGCTTAAGACGTTACCTTCCAATTTTTTTGCTCCTTCAGGCCACTCTTTGTCAATGACATTAAAATCATCATCACGTCTAGACCATTGAAACCAAAAACGACAATTGGAATATGATGAAGCGGCATAATAGCCCCATAAGCTTCTGAAAGTGTTTGATGGCCTTCGCCAGTCGATTTCTTCATATCAAGCAAACAAAACTAATGAATGTGGGTGTAATGAGTTCTGGCGACTGTACATACTGGTTAACTAAATACTAAATGGAAAAATGTTGTTTTATGCAGAGAGAGGCCAAAGGCTACTGCGAGTTATTTTATCATTTTCATCAATGGATGTTGCTGATCAAAATACATGGAAGCGCCTGAATTATCATTATGTTGTAAGGCGTGGGAATGTTTCAAATCCGTGAACGACTACAAGTTATTTCTCATTTTTTCGTCATTCTCCGAAGGTTCGGATCTTTGCTTAGAAGTAAAATTTCATATAATTTTTGTATTTCTTTGATACAAAAAAATTTAATTCCTCCCAATAGGGTGCAAACATTCAACTGAACATTTATATGGACTCCATACGTGCTCTAGGTTGATTGTATTCATTACATTAATTATAGATTTAAATAAAAGACAAAAAAAAAAAAAATCTCCAAACAAAAGCCATTTAATATTCAACTAAAGTTTGTTCATTATTTTAACACAATTACTTTTCTAATGCTAACCTTTAAGAAAAAAAAAAAAAAAAATTATTTTTTCCTTGTATTTTTCCAACAAAAACTAACTTTTTAATGGGTGTTGTTGCCGTTTTTTTTTTTTTGTTTTTGTTGTTTTTTTTCTCTTGTTTGACAAGCCATCACGCTAAGATGCAAATGAACGATGATAAGTAATAAGGTGAAGGGGGAATAAAAAGACGTGGAATGGGAAACTGGTGCTAAGTATAATGAAGAGGTTGATATTGGGCCTGGATCTCCACTTATATTGTTGTGAGTTTGAGAGGCAAAAAAAGTGAAGGAAAGGATTGTTCAGTGTGCGTTTCCTTCTTAAATTTCTTCTTACTTTTCTTTTCTTTGTCGTTAACATCAGTTCCTTTATTCCCTTTTTTTTATTTACATTTTTTCTTTTTTTTATTCATAGTAAACCTATCCAATTGTTTTTGTAAATAAGAAAAAAAAAATTAATGGTAATTCAACCATTGGACTGACTTTTTAAATAAGAGAGAAAAAAGAAGAGAAAACAAGGAAAATTTAATTTGACCAGCTAGAGAGGAAAAATGAATGTTTTAAGGAAACAGTAAGAAAATAAAGAAGTTTTTCTTAAAAGATTCGGTATACAAGAGATTTTTATTTATAATATCCATATAAATCACTCATTATATAAACCTTTCGTGTAACTTAAGAAAATCTCTGCTTTTTCCTTTTTCTACCTCATTATTTTCTTTAATTGAATTGAAAGTTTTTTTCTTCTATCTAAATTAATAAATTGCATTTACCCAAGCAAAAACACTAGAGCGGCGGCCCACTGTAAAATATCCTACACCACTTCGCTTAATACAGCGACTTTTCAATGTATAGTCTTATGTATTGCAAGCGATTAAAAAAGTGGCTCGATCCGAACCATTTTCAATGCCGCCCGTCTTGTGAGCAAGACAAGTCAGTGAAAGTGCAAGCCACACGAAGACAAGACGGACGGACAAGCTTGACTTTGAATCGGTCGCTATAATAAAAGGTTGGTCTCTCTAAAGTCCCTCTGAGTATTGATAGTCCGTATGACCTTACGGTGCCCTGTACCACAAAAAGATTTTACTTTACATATTCGACTCCTTAGGAGATCAGCAAATTTCTTCCATAGGTACAATAAAGGGAAAGTGAGTGATGCCTTCCCTCTTCAGACATTTGTAGCTATAAATAGTCAGATTAAAGAACATGCGCCGATTTTTTTCTTGTTTCTTAGTTTTCGAAATATACCCGATCTTTTGAACCAATAAAACCATTATAAATCAATTGAAATTCGCACATTCTTTGAATGTTAACCCTTTAGCTTTATTTTTATGAGGAGCCACGTATAGGAGAAAATGAAAATTCATTTCTCCTTAGAGTTGATTATTATAATTTATGTACAAGGATATATTAAATTTGTGCGGATGTATGGGACACCCAGAGGGATTTAGAGGGAGATATGCCTTTTGCTGTGCTGGTCGATTCGGAAAATGATTCTGATTGTCCGTACGTCCATTCGTCTTATTTTCTCGCGTTCAACCTACAGGCCCGAAATTTTTGAGATATATTAATTAAATTTACTACACCCACATGCTTTAATTCAATGGTCCGGATCGGACTATTTTTTCGACCACTCCCCTTATAAAGACTTACTTTGGAAAGTCATCATATGATAAAACATAGGGTGGTGTAGGGTATGTGATCTGCTACAGTGTTTTTACCTATTTTTGTGCTCCTCTTTGTATTATTTATTTATATATAATTTTTTATATATACATTTTACTTATATAAGTTAGGAGTAAACTAGAAATTCTTCGCTTTTTAATTTTAGAGGGATTACGAATCCATTTGGAGCATTTCAACTGATTTTCAAGAAAAACTTAACCCCTAAAAAATATTTCAATACCAAAACTTTTGCTTTTAAACAAATTTTTGCTTTGACCTTGATTTTGAATGATTTTCACGATAAACATAACCTCTAAAAAATATTTCAACACCAAAAGTTTTGCTTTTAAATAAAATATGATATCGTATTCATAGTCAGGGTCACTCATTGCTAAATAGATTCCACTATCCATGCTGATCACGAATATATATATAAACGTTAATGAATCTTTAATGCACATTTTAATGAAATAAAAGTATTTAACAAATTTGCTAAGCGCGCCCCCTACAGCAAATAAATGGATAGTTTTGACGAGTCGATTGCGATTCTTTTTATCATTAAACAACTTTTTTTGAAGTTCTGGTGAAAATTCCCTTTGTTTCAAACATGATTCTACACAATAACTAAATGTAATAAATTTCAAAATTCTGAGAAATATGAAAGAGAATTAAAAAATGACATTTTTTGAAATATCCTCAAATTTCTTTTTAATCTTCTTCTTAAATTATTTCTATATTTTATTACAATTTTTGACCTATTGTTTTTTTTCCGTTTATTAATTGTTTTTAGGGTCTCCTGCGTACCGCCGAACAATTAAAAATCAAAGGTCTTTGCGAGACGGCTGAGAATGCGGATGATTTAAACGACGCTGCCACTGCTACTATCACTGTCTCCGAGAATATACAACAAGCCGTGGTCGGCAATATTGTTAACGCCACTGTTGTACAAGGTCAACCCTCACCGCCCATACCCCACCAACATCAACAACAGCAGCAACAGCAACAGCAGCAGCAGTTAGCCAATGCTGCTGTTCTCGCACACTCTGTAAGTCCCGCCAGTGCACAACAATTTGTTACAAGTGGTCAGTTAGTTACTTCGACGCCAGTCGTAACGCAGCAACAACAGCAATTAAGTCGTAAATCTCGTGTACGTAAACGTTCAAAATCGCCAGATTTGCAACAGTTACAGCAACAGCATCATCAGCAATCTCAACATCCGCAAGCAATTCTTATACAAAATCAGAATCAAGCTGCCATCGTTAGTTTGCAACAGACTTCGGCTGGAAATTATATACCGGTATCGGGTGTTCAAACGGTTCAAACCACTTCGGGTGGCGGACCACCGCAACCTGGTACTACAATAGTAACGGCAGACGATTCGGACTCTGATAAACCGACTCTGCAGAAAATCTGTAAAACCGAAGAGGCTTCGGCTTCACCGGCTTCGACGTCATCGGCTTCGGCCTCGAATAATGCAGCTGGCGTAACTGCAGTGGCCAGCTCAGGACCGGCGATTGTCACACAAATTGTAGTAGCACGCGACGGCAAAGATAAAAATATGACTAGTTTAGGCATGGGCATGGTAAGTACAAAATAAATTAAATAATAGGCGAAAAGAATTAAAGCGAATTATTGTGCATGTACATCGGTGATTATTCGTTCGATCGCGCCGACTCATTATAATTTGAAAAGAAGCATCTTAATAATATGTCTTTGTTTTAATTTTTTTAGAATGGCGGCATTTTAGGAGTACCGATGGGCTTTTTGGACTTCGCTCCTGAACCCCCAGCACCTTCAGCAACCCCTGTCACTGTTACTGAACACGTAGATCTATCTTGTAACCCTAGTACAGACACAAGAGATCTATCGAGTAAGTCTAAATAATTTACCCCCTATTCTGATTGGTTGCTCATTAATTTGTTTTTCATTAGACCCCTCAGAACCGTTAGATATCGATAATCATTTAGCTCAGCATATGATACAGCGGCTCGATCAATCACCCATGCATACCATACATCATCAAACCGGTGATGAATCCAATTCGAATCTTGTGCAGCATATCAAAAGCGAGGTAATAGAAGCCAAGCAACAACAGGTGCAACAACAGCAACAACAGCAGCAGCAACAAGCTGCCGCTGCTGCTCATCATCAGGCCCAGCAACAGCATTTACATGCTCAACAGCTGGCAGCCGCCCAAGGGCAAGCTCATCAACAACAGCAGCAAGTTCATCAGCAGCAACAACAACAACAGCAGGCTCATCAGCAACATCAACAGCAGGCTGCAGCTCATCAGCATCATCAACAGCAACAGCAACAGACCCACCAAGAAATTACAGGAGCCACGGTGATGGAAATAGATCCGAGCCAAATTAAACATGAACCCGGCATGATAATAACACCGGAAATTGTGAATATGATGACAACTGGGCATATGGGTGAGTCACGACAAAGTAATGCAGACATAACCTTAATGATGCAAAATATTGTTGAATCATTTTAACCTATTCAAAATTGACTTACATTCATTTTCCTTCTTTTCATTTTCTTGAATTGTTTCTCTTTCTTCTTTTCGCTTCACAGACATGTACAATTCCGACACGAGCGATGATTCAATGATGATTGCTAATGGTTCACCCCACGATCAAAATGAACCCCATTACACGAATTTAGATCAACAACAGCATGGTGGCGAACTCAAAGGTCAGTTTAATGGTCCCAAAACTTGGACACAAGATGATATGAATTCAGCTTTAGATGCTCTAAAGAATCAAAATATGAGTCTGACGAAGGCCTCCGTTACATATGGCATCCCCTCAACTACACTGTGGCAGCGTGCTCATCGTATGGGCATTGAAACGCCTAAAAAGGAGGGTGGTACAAAATCTTGGAATGAAGATTCATTGAATAATGCCTTGGACGCGTTGCGTTCCGGACAAATATCGGCTAATAAAGCGTCTAAGGCCTACGGTATACCTTCCTCGACTTTATATAAAATCGCTCGACGTGAAGGCATACGCTTAGCGGCACCATTCAATGCAGCACCCACCACTTGGACTCAAGATGATTTGGATCGCGCTCTGGCGGCTATACGAGCCGGTCACACATCGGTACAGAAGGCAAGTGCTGAGTTTGGTATACCAACAGGTAAGTCAGTGGTCTATGTTGGTCTATAACGGCAGTGTTGTTATGCGAATCGTAAACGCATCGTTAGGAGAAAATTCTCAACTTTAAGTTAAATTTTTTTTTAATATTTCTTTAAAATATGCTCTCCTCCTCTTACTACTGCTACTATTTGTTGAAACTATGTAAATAAAAAGGCACTTTATACGGCCGCTGTAAACGTGAAGGTATAGAGCTCTCAAGGTCAAATCCTACACCTTGGTCCGAGGATGCTATGAATGAAGCCTTAAATTCAGTACGGTAGGATTCCATTGATTCGACCTTATTATCAAATGGAATATTCATTTTATTCATTTTTCTTCTTTTTTTTTTTCAAATTCTTAGCGTGGGTCAAATGTCCATTAATCAAGCCGCTATAAATTATAATTTACCCTATAGTTCTCTGTATGGCCGATTTAAGCGAGGTAAATACGATGTCTCCAATGCCAGTGGCACATCACTGAATAACACCTCGGGCAATACATCAGCCAGCATTGAAATTATTGAACATAGTCAAGAGAATTCGGTAAGTTATTAATCATATAAAGTACGTATATACATTCTTGATCAGTATCAAATTCTGAATTGATTTAAGCACGTCCCTTAGCCAGTCTGTGTCATGTCTGTGGTAAACATTCTCCTGGGCGCTTCAAACTTTGCAAAAACACTGGAAGTCTTTGTACGCAGATTGATATTGAAATTCATTTTATTTTTTGGCCAAAAATAAGGAATTTCTTTCCGAATCACCTAACAATTTGCTACGCATTTGATGCACATACGGTACAGGCGCATCTTAAGGATATGTATAAGACCCAACTTTAATTATATCAACCATTCAGAAAGAGATTCTGATTCTGTCCGTCTTGCTTTCATGTTTTCAATCTACAGACCATCTTTGAGATAATTTAATAAAATTTAGTACGCCGCGACGTGCTTTGCCCAAGGCCGAGCGCTATTGAAAATGCTTTACTTTTTTTGACCATTTTTCATATAAAGGCTTTTTTTGAAAAGCCGTCGTGTATACATGGTCAGTCTGAGTTATGTTGCTTACGAATTGCAGCATATAGAAGGATAAAAAATTCCAACACACATCATTCTCAATTATATTGTCAATCGATCAAAGCATGTTTGTCCACTTCCCTGTCTGTCTGTCTGTTTCCCTGCAGTAAATATACTTGCGGTTCTAAAAAGCAAAATGTTTGCCTCAAATCTAGCAGGTCCTGATGATAGGGCAAGTCTGTCAAAGGACCCTTACACAACATAGACTGAGAATAGCTTTATTTTGAAAAAGGAAACAAAATGAATTTTGGCTCATTACTCTTAAACTATAACAGTAAAAATTTGTTTATTGTATATATAGCGCGAAAAAGAGAACGCCCAGCCAATATTATAATTTAATTTTCTTCCAGATTTACTTTTATACTCTACACCAGTTGTGGTATAGGGTATATTAAGTTTATGCGGACGTACGTAACACCTAGAAGAAAAAGGGCTTAAGATAGACCCTCTCTTTATTATACCGAACAATTCAAAGTCATTTTCTAAATCCATCTAGGCCTGTCTGCCCATCTATCTGTGTTGCTGCAAGTTGTAATTTTTGAAATTTGGTGCGTAGACGTACACTGGCTCAAGTTCGAACACTATTGAAAATGGTTCGGATCGGACCACTTTTTCAACCACTTCCCAAATAACGCCCTTTTTGTGAAAAATCGTTATGTGGAATGAAATGTCAAGTTTTAAAATTTCTTGACTTCTCCCTCTCGTATAACCGTTCCTACGGAAACTGAAGCTTTATATAGGGAAAAGATCGAAATTTCAATATTTCATGGCTAAAATTGGCTCATAATAGAAAATTGCCAAACAAATCTACCTTAGCGAGTTTGGATCATGTAAGCCTATTTTTTGGGTACCACCATATATAAAGATGCTCATGAATAGTATACCCTTTTATGCCAAAAGGCCTAATTGTTACGTTTTTTGTGATGAAAATTTCTTCATAATAATAACTAAACAAAAAACTTAAGTGGACCTAACTTGAACGACATGGATTTATTTCTTGGCTCACCCCATACAGGATATCTCATGAGTAGTAACCCCTTCCGAAAAGCACTTCATTTTTAATTTCTTATGATGAAAATTAATTGTATTTTTTTGGGCTTCAACATACGTAGGCGCTACCACGAAAAACAAGCTCTTATATGAAGAGTAAGTCTCATCTCTCCAATATGCCGGCTTTTATAAAAATTGTGGCTTTGCATGAAAATAATGTGTCAGTTTTAGTGTATTATTATCAAAACGAGTAAATAACTGTACTAAGGAAATTGGTGTAGGGTATGTAGTGGTAGGCCTTATCCGACTATAATTAAAAAATTAAAACAATTAAAAAAATCAAAAACAATTTTTTTTTTTTAATTCATAAATAATAAAGGCAAAAAAACAAAAAAAAAAAAAATTAATTTGACTGAATGCTTTAACATTATAATTTATCAAGTTGCATATATTACAGCAACAGTTCCAGTATAGTCCATCGCCGCACCAATCGGGTCACGGTAGTAGTACGCCGCAGCAGCAAACAGGCCAAACACCACAGCATATTCAACAGCATGTGGTGCATATACAGCAGCAACATCACCCATCTCAACAGCAACACGGCCAGCATATTCAACAGGATGTTGTGGTTACATCAAGCAGTCAGCAACAGCAAGTACATCAACATGGCGGCAGCTCAACAGCGGCCGGACAACAGCAGCAACAGCAAATCCAACAGATCTATCATCATCATAGCACACCCGAAAGGAGTTGAGAATCACTGCAAGTCGTGCCCGCTGCAGCTACAGTGGCTGTAGCTGCGGTATCAGCAAATATTAGCCATATTGGCGGCGGTGGTAGTTTAACCAGCAACAAACGTAAAAAACTCTCCAGAAGTAAACGTTGAAAACTGAAAAAGAGTAAAAGCTGTTGAAAAAATTGTATAAATTTCTTTTTTTTTTCTAATATTTTATCAATATGTGGAAGGGAAAAAAGGTGTTAAGGTCAGCAATCGGGTGTAATGAAAAAAAAATTTTTTTTTTTTTTAAAGTCTATTTAAATTTGTTTGTTCGGGAGAGTTTACGATACATGCAAACGCTGTAAGGAAAAAAAATACACACACACACACACAGACACACACACATATTATCACATATTTAAGTTAGAATTTTATATAATAATAAGTTAACGACCGCTGTTATTCTCTAGTTTTTCTTTTTTTTAACCACTCTTTCCTCCACTCCACTGAAATTGTGACTGCACTTTTAATTATATAATAACTCCGTTATCCAAAAAAAGAAAAAAAATAAAAATGAAAAAAAAAAAAATACTAAACGGGCGTACATTAACTACGAAAACACTGATCGGTCAGACAAGTTTCTTGTTCTTGCTCTTTTTCCTCTTTTTTTTCTCTTTGTTTCGCGGAAGACGACACTACCTGTTCACCACATATGATTTCCAAAAGCTTCAAATTTCCAAAATCTTTAAATATATATAACCTTTTTTAAGGTTATGAACGATTGCTTTAACAATTGAATTACGATGAATAAATTTTTAATATCATTTAAGTATTTATTTATGAAATAAAAAAAAAAAGTGACTTACTACTCCCTTCCTTTCGGTTTCTTTTAGCTTCTTAGCAAACGTAGCAATTAATATTGAAATAAAAGTTTAAAATATAATTTGAACCGAACTATTTGAAGGTCTATTATCATCAACTGTTTTAAAAATCTTTTCCTTTTTTTTGCGCTTTTCTCTGTAAGATGAGTAAGCGTCTGCTTTCTTCCATTCTGCCAGTTAGAATTGGCTTCATCCTTACCGTCTAATATCTTATAACCTTGTACCATAACGATTGAACTATAAATCCTTTTCATCTTTTGAATGAAATTTATTTTCGAATTATGATGGGTAACTTTGATCGAATGCAAAGTGTGGATTTTTGCTTTTGCTTTTCTTGTTTTACGTTACCCAAAGGATATAACCGAGTGTTTTGTTTTTTTTTTTTCAATTCGTTTGACCTGAACCAAAAAGAACATTGCTTTCATTTTCTTATTTCTTTCTATTATCAGCGACAAATACTGATCACTTCTGGCTGTAAAGGATGCTTATCGAGCTCAATGCTTTAAAGTGCTTATCGATAGGGTTTACTTACTTATTCCTGATGGAGAGCTAGCCGCACAGTCTTATTGACATAGATCCGATTCCGTAAATGATCTAAAGCATGGGGCTTTTGCGTCAAATGGAAGCGAAATTTCAGCCATTTTTCCATACTACTTAGAAACCGCATTAAAAATTAATGGTTTATGCAATAATTTTATAGAAGAATTTTACCTTGATTTCATTTCATGACGAGTATCTAAACGGTGGATGTCAAAAAAAGTAGTGAGCCCAATCTATCTTCCGAGCAGTATTTGTTCGATTTAAAGAATTAATGTTTTACTGACAATCAGTCTCTAAAATGGTAATCATTGAACCGTGTTTCCTATATTAGCCAGAAACTTCTTAATAATGTTAATGACAATAATTGGAAAATTTCAAGAATATCTTCAAATGAATTTTCACTAATTAAAGGTATTTTCAAAATGTTTTAGGCAAAATGCATTAACTTAGTATATAGAAAATATATATGTAAACCTAGCTTCACTTCTTCAAAAATTCTGATAAGCTGCGCTTATGTGGCCATTTCTAATGCAAATCATCAAAAAATGGTTTAATTAAAGCATTATTCTTCAATCTTTTCAAATATCATTTTTCGATAAGCGACCGCTCTTTGAATACATAAAAAATTGAAACTTCTGTTTAAAAAGTTTCCAAGAAAAATCATGAAAAAAATGAATCCTATCAAAACTGAAAGAGAATTTAGAAATATGGCCAAGAATCAGGGAGGCTGGAAAGAGTGTAAAAAAGTGAAATATGTAACATTTTTTTTTTTCTCATTAATTTTATTTTAAAAGAACACAAATTAAATTAAATTTAAATTGTTTTTCCTCCGATATAGAAAATGTTTTGATTATTGAAAATTATTGAAAATTCTACAAAACTATTTTAAATGGTTTTCCTGTTCTTTTTCTTCTTCTTCTTCATTGTCATTATCTTTTTTCCATTTTTTTTTTCCTAAACTAATTTTATAAATATTAAA